CTCAAGGCATACAAAAGCGGAGGGTAAATTTACCCCCCAGATTTGCCGATCACGCATCTTCGTGCCTGCCAACGAGTGCACCCGGGTTGTTCCAATGTACCCTTCCCAGTCCCAGTCAGCGATGTCACATTTACATTCTTTAGCGCAAAGTATGTACATAGCAACCTTCCTCCCAGAACATGTACTCACTACATGCTTTGCCGACTATGTGACTAGTACATCCGGTGCGACTCGGCTGGCTTTCGACCTCCTCCCCCTGGCCTCAAGTTTGGGATGCGTTTTTGGGGACGGGGCTGCAAAAGAAAGAACTGTTGTGGCTTCGAATGCACAGCAACTTGGTCAACGGGGCTTCACATGCTGCAATGAAATTGGACAATTATGTTTTGAGCCTTTGCCAAATTCAGGCACAGGTCTTTTTAAGGTCTATATCTTAATCATCTATATCGGTATATGGTTCTAAAATATGTACCATAGCCAGGTGGAGAAAAGCAAGCGCTGGTCGAACAATACTTGGAGGCGGAATGTGCTGAAAGTTTCATGACCACCAGTGGGCCCCACTTCTGGTGCGCAGTAAACAGCAGGACCCGAAGCAGGTTCAAGGCCATTGAAATTTACTACTAGTAAAAAGAAACTACTAGTAACAAGGTGCATCGCTACTAGTAGCTAGGGCATTTCTACTAGTAACAAGAAGCTACTAGCAACGTGCTTTCATTCACGTGGATGGCATTGGCCACTCTCAAAGGCACGAGCACCTGGACAAATGCAGCTTTATGGTGGTGGCCTGAGTTTCGAGGCGCGAAAATACAAGAGAGAGAGTAAGAGAGAGAGAGGAGACAAAGAGAGGGGGAGAGAGGGGCACATTTGGGAGCACAACTACAGTCCTTACCCTCATCATATACACTTGGAGGTTTGGGGATGTATCTCACGGGTCATGGTCATGGAACTTGGGATTTTGAGAACATGATCTTTCCTTTTTTTGACAACCGTACAAGGATGTGTTCTCTCCAGCAGCCTTGAAGGTTGCAAATGTCATTATTGTATTGCCCCTGCCAAAAGCAAAAAATTGACCGGGTTGGTGTTAGGTGTGAGGCTTGAAAACAGATTAAAATGATTCGATAAAGTCATTGGTAAGCGCATCATCTTTGCTGCAGATGCAATAAGCTATGTATCATAACCCAAAAAAAACTTAGACGCCGCCCTTTACAATCCCTTGTCATATTAAATCTGTTGCAAGGCATCATGTCTTCAGCAATGATGTGGCATGCCGTCACAAAGACCTGTCAAAAGCAAGTACAAAACCTTCAAAGTGTGTCAAAAACACTACAAAACAGCCTTCTTTGTGGTAAATCTAGCAAGTTGCAGCTTTACGATGTTTGCCGCTCACAAATGCTCCCTACGTGAGACGTCAGACGTTGCTGGCAGTGTGAGACCTGCACCCAAAGACAATCAAATTAACATGCAAGGAATGAAATGTTCAACCTTTATAGACATGAAGTTCCCAAATATGCTTGCTAGACTTGCTGATACACAGGGCCGCCCTATTGAGACGAGTGTGTCTAGCGCAACATTATATAGTATACAGAGGGACACTCACAACAAACAACTCCAGAAGGCGCTGTCTTGCCCAGGAGTGATTGTCGCTAGCCACATCAATTCCAAGGATTAGCGGAAGGGTGAGCTTCCTCACAGCAACAATCGATCACATTGGAAGGAAGTATAGCCACTTGCGCATCAGACACTCACCTGATGATCACATCATCACCGACCTTGCAAGACACACGTGTTGCAAAACAGCTAAAGGTGCTGACCTTAAAAAAAAAAAGTAGAAGTAGAAGTCCTGAGGAAGCCGTATCACACTCTGGAAGAGTGGTGCCGATGAGATGGCTTCGCCGGGTGAGCTGTTGCTGAACAATGGGGCACAGGTGATCCATGCTTTGATGAATGCAAGAATAATGGACAAGGCCGTCATTGCATTGTTTGCCACCCTGTTGTTGACGACGACATCGCTCACGATCGTTCTATGGGCTTTAGCCATGTCAGCATCAGTTATGGTTTCCGGAATGTTCTCAAGAATATGTAAAGGAATCCAAACAGTGTTAAGCGGAGCACCACAGCTTTTACACCTTTGGCGCCACAGATCATCAAGCATTGTCTAACTATAAAAGACAATGAAGGGTTCGCATGGATGCAGCTTTGGGAGTGTTGCGTGTGTTTGGATAGTGTCTTCACCACGGTGGCTGTCCTCAGTTTGAAAGAGCCGTGTAGCATGGTGTAGCCAACCTAAATTAGCGTGATTGAACATGGTTTGATCGTTGTTGTATGCACTGTTTTCGGAGGCCTTCGTTCGCTGGCAGCTGCAGTGGCAAGCTCCGTTCTGGGCAACCGCCTCATTCCACCACTTTTGCCAAGGTTGGATAGGAATACCTAGCAAAGCATATTCCTTTCCAGATGGCCGCTACAGTAGGCAGTTAAATTAGAAGTTTTGCAGATTGTTCTTGCACTCCTGTGGCAGAACTTCTTGATGAATCCGATGCATCGCTTCTTACACCCGCAACCTATCATTTTGCAGGTTTGATCATGTGCAGCATCGACCACTCAAACTTTGAGTCTTTGAGGCCACTGGTGAGGAAGCTGAGATCACCGAACGCTGCCGGAAGTTGGGGGAGCACATCAGATCCAGGAGGACGGGGGGATGGGCGACTGGACGAGGAGCAGCATTCGCCCCGTCAGCCTCGAGAAGATACATCAGTCAGCCCAAAGCAAACAAAATCAGAAAGAGAAGGAAGATAATGGCCCCTTGAATACAGTCTCCTTTAATGTGGACCTTCCCTTACCCCTTTTTCTCTCCTCGTTATTTGTTCAGAAAACCTTGACATTGAGAGATCCCGCGCACACTTGTTTTGTCGTTTTTATGGTGCTGCGACGCGTGGATCAGAGGGAACAATCCGGAACAGAGCTTAGCAGCAATGCGAAGCAGGAGCACTTTGAGAGACTCTCAGCGAACGCCTGATTCTTGGGATGATGCCAGAGTGATGCCAGAGTCAACAGGTAATGGACAAACGTGTTGAGCAGTTCAGAGGGGTAGACTTTGGAAACTGTAGACGTTTACCACGTCTACTTTCTTTTATTTGGTGAGTTGGAACAGCAAGGCCTAGACACCGCCCACGGCGCCAGAACTGGCCGCCGCAGGCCCTTGGACCATGGAGAAAGCGGAACTGCTCCATACCGCTAGCCTGATATACACTCGCCATGTTTCTGTATCATGCTGGCTCGAACTTCACACGAGCACATCGGTAGGAGGACTCGGGTTTGAGGGAAGATAAGTGAATGCTCCGGAATGGCATCGGGAGCATCATTCTTCAGTCATTAATTCACTCAAGCAAACGACGATACTTACCATACAAGCAACCCTCATTGTCATGCAAAACATGTAAGCCCCGAGTCACGCCCTTTGTTGGAAAACAACTAAGCCACTTGACTAGCTAGCACCCATGATTCCATGGAGGCACCCAACGGCACAAGATCATGTGCGCATCGTGGACCACGATCTGCAAGACGATATGTTTGTCCAGGATCTCAGCCGAAAACCTGAGAAAGATTGAAGTTGAAGGAAATTGCAGGCTATGATCATTCAAAATCTACCACTGGCTACCACCTACAGCGACCATCAACTCTAATCGGCCAGTGTCCTTATGCCTACATTCCTTTAAGTCCCCTCCAGAGATGGAGCACGCAGAGCAGAATATCCACCATCAAGAGCAAAGTCCATTGCTTGTTTGCCCTCGCACTCAGGTGGTGGGGGTATGTCTACAGCTGCCAAGGGATTTGTCCAACCACCCCCTGAGGTGTGAACATGCTTGCTCACTCTGGGCATGGTGAAAAAAATGTGAAAAATGTGTGTGTGTGTGTGTCAAGTCCTGTTCCTAAGGACCTCTCACACCACGACACATTAACTAATCACTAACTACTAGTAGCTACTGTCATTTTGAACAACCGCTGTACAGCTCTGCAGGGCAGTGGACCACTATCACTCACTGCCCAACGAAGACAGTAATAGTTTGGGCATGACATCCAGAAGGGACGCCTTCCGGACGTACCTGCATCGATCATGTGATGTAAACCATATGATTGTTGCTGACTGTTCACCTTTCTGTTCCTCGCAGGGCCGTTGCCAGGTCAAGGTTTCAGCGCTCTGGTCGGGTATTGTGGTAACTAGACGTAAAGTGCTAGCTTCACGGGAAAGTCATAACTGACACAGCTCTTGCGAGCATGGATCTAAGTGTGAGCCGCAGCATCGTCCCACTGCGGCTTGCTGTGTGATCCCACCTTTGGGCCGCGCGTTTAGCACAGACCCTCAAGGGTGCTATTCTACTGACTCTTCCGATCTGCCTGATACTCGCTGGCTTCTCGTTTTTGCTCGAGATTGCAGCTCGTTTGCCGCAGGGCCCACTGACAATACATCAGAATGACATGCCATGCCGCTAGGTATTCACCTTGATGTCTCGCGGCAACTTTCCAAGCCTGAATTCGTCACATCTCCTTACCCGACCACCAGATGCGTTACCGGCTTCGTGCCACTGCTTGATGCTAGCAGCTAGCACCCGCCGTTCCTCTCATTGCAGATCTCCGCTCAGCCATGCAGTTTCCGTGGCGTTGCTCGATGCCACCTACGACTCCACCACCACCACCACCACCAACAACAACAACAACAATGCCAGCGCACTACATCCACCATCCACTAACCGCTCCATTGGTCTATCCGTACCCACCTCAGTCTTTACCTCATCCAGCACATCCACACACCATGGTTCACCTCCCAGTCCACATCCCAGTCTTACGCGCCAACCCGGCAGCCACCTCCATTCCACCCCGCAGTGGCCCACTCAGCACAGTTGTGCAGGGGGGCAGTGGACCACTATCACTCACTGCCCAGCGAAGACAGTAATAGTTTGGGCGTGACATCCAGAAGGGACGCCTTCCGGACGTACCTGCATCGATCATGTGATGTAAACCATATGATTGTTGCTGACTGTTCACCTTTCTGTTCCTCGCAGGGCCGTTGCCAGGTCAAGGTTTCAGCGCTCTGGTCGGGTATTGTGGTAACTAGACGTAAAGTGCTAGCTTCACGGGAAGTCATGACTGACACAGCTCTTGCGAGCATGGATCTAAGTGTGCAACGATGAAGTTATTTGATGATGTTTCAGTACACTCAAGAAAAGGCCCCTTACTCCAAAGAATAAAGACATTCCAGAATTGTGGCCGGGGGGTATAAGTTGTTGCACTTGCAGGTGGCACGTGACATCAAAGCCTACGAAGACGTCCAAAACCTTCGGGAGGCCACCATGGTTGCTTTGGCCAAGTTCTAAATCTAAGGCTTCAAGGGAGAACAGACGAATCATGCAACATGATGCAACCAAATATTTGTGAGACTGCGTAAGCGTGTTTCGCAGGAGTCTTCAGATGACGAAGAGTATCGGCAGAGAAAGCTAGCACAAGCTGCTTTAGTGCAGGAGGAGAGACACCATCCGCCATCCGACACTTCAACTTGGAAGCAACAGAACTAGAACCTAACACTAGCTAGGGCGCCAGAAGGCAAGCATCAGCGCCCATGAGAATGAAAGTGTGCAGCCTTCTGTAGTTTTTTCATGGAGTTTCCACTTGTTTTACCATGGCGGATGAGACCAACACCTCTTGTCAGCATCCGCCCGACCAGGAAGCGGATGAGCTCCGATTCATCGCAGAGGCCATATTATGGCTTGCATTGTGTAGCTTTGGAATTGTTTACGAATTGGTTGGCTAAGCTACAGGCCCTACAGTCCTACAGGTTAGAGGACTTGAAAGGTGCGGCATAGCTTGGCTTTGGACTGTGACTGATTGCTTCAAGAGGCAACCTCCAGGAGACAAACTCATGGACACTGGTACGTGCATTTTGATAAACCAAATCAAACTGAAACGCACGGATGGCCATGACGGAGGTAAAACTGTAGCCAACTCGTGCTTGTGGATTCAGGGCCGTTCAGCACAATGAGCTTGTGAGGCCGATGTGAAGTCAAACATCCTTGCTGCCAAACTGCAAGTGGCCCGGCTTGAGACCCTCGAGGTGCCACCCAGCAGTTCAGGTGTGTTTGGATAGCACTTAGCTGGCACTGCTTTGAAGAATGGATGCACATTTGGTTTTGGGTTTGTAATTGCAATGTATGGTAGTGGCATGAGCAGTTTTGTTGAACACACACCTGCCAGGCGCTTGTGCCCAGCCAGCGAGAGGCATGTCGTGCCTGGATGGCTCAGGAGTGGAAGGTTTAGAGATCTTTAAAAAGTTTGGCAAAACCAAAAAAATAGGTTCGACTAGGAACATGATACTGATACTGTATAACAAATGGCAATATCAAGGAGGTGTTTATTCGATCAATGGAGAGCCTTTTGCAGGCACAAGCTGAAACCAGACGGGCAGAAGGAAAGAAGCTCTTTCGATTCAGGTCAAGCAGAAGCACACCCTGGAAGAGATGCAGAGTTCCAAGGCGGAAGGAATCATCATTTAATGGTGGAAGAAGGGCCAAAGAATCGCGACTTCTTAGAGACCGATAAGTCCAGAGCTTGAAAGCACCCGAAAGCACGATATACATAAGGAGAGCTGGTTGTTCATAGTTGTTCGATTGTGACATCCAGTTAAGTGGCCACCGAGGCAAAAGTTTGTGATTTCCCTGGCTGAAAGACATGTTGGAGAAATGGTGTGTGGAGCTCAACCTGCAGGCATACTCAGATGACGGGGGTGTTTTCCTTTTTCTATTCCATGTTTTTCCTTGTTCCTTTTACCTTGGACCTTGCACATGTCGACACTTGTCACGCATCAAGCCATGGTTGGCTGGCGCTTGAAGAAAGTCCAATGAACAGTTGCAAAAGTGACTCTTGTGAGATTTGTTCGATTGTGCAGAGCGGTCAACCGGTCACACGTGAGCACAAAACGAGAAGTGTACCTTTTACTGGACCTTTAGGCCCAAGCCGAAAACAAGCGTTGTGCTTCGCATGGTAGCGGAGCGTGGCCGTATAGAGCCCGCTCTGCTACCCACGCCATTTGCACCACGAGCACCACGACCACGACTCGCAGGAGACGAGCAGCTGGCGGCGCGCAGCCGATTTCGTTTTGGTTGGTTGAGCTCCTTCTACTGAGCTGCATAGCTGGAGGGGCTGGTGATTCGTGGACGCAAGAAGTCTGTCACTATCAGCCACCTCAGGTCATTGCTCAGCAGCGGAACTGGAAAGTAAGACGCGTGCACAGCATCGAGGTGGACACAGACGAGTGCGTGGGTAAGTTGCAGTGGGCCAGAAGCACCAGCGCGGTGAAGGCATCACTGCTGGTGCGCAACAAAGTCAAGAAGAAAGGAAAGGGATCCAGGGAGAGAAAGCAGCTGGTGGTCATCGTCCCGGCTAAGTGGAAGCTATTGAAGAAAGTTGAGGACCTGCGAGACAAAGCGGACAAGGACGCAATCAGTGACCTGGTGACAAACTGGGACTTCAGGAAGCTGCTGACCTACACCAACCCAGAGGTCAACGAGGAGCGGCAGGACAGTGAGCCCCACGCGACAACGGAGATCTATTACCCCAAGGTGGCATACATCCACACCATGGCGGAAGAGAGTTTGAAGATGATCTCAACGGCCCTGGAAAAGCTGACGGTAACCCAAAGCTCGAGTTCCTGGGCCAGACACCTGAAAACTCCAGACTTGTTCAAGCCCGACACCCGTGACAACGAGTTGAGGCAATGGAGTGACTGGAAGTTTTCATTCGAGAACTATGTGAAAGGCATTGATGCGCCGATGGCCTACAGCATGAAGCTCGTGGAGGAGAACCTCAATGGGAACTATGAGCTGGATGAAATGACAGATGAAACGAAAGCTCAAGCCATTCGCCTCTACAGCCTCCTGATCTCCTACCTCCGCAACCGACCTTTGAAGTTGGTGAGGCATATGAAGCAGGAAAACGGCTTCGAGGCATGGCAAAGACTCCTACGAGAGATGCAACCGGTGACAAGGGCCAGATCCCTTGCACTCCTGACACAGCTGTCACGAGTTCAATTTGCTGAGGGCAAGTCGATCTCTGAGCAATTGCCCGTGTATGAGTCCATCGTGACCGAGTATGAGAGGATCTCCGGGCATACATATGGTGATGACAATAAGGTGGCATCGATCTTGCAGGCCGTCCCAGCTCATTTGAGGTCGCATCTCCAGCTCTGGATCACAGATAGCACGACCTATGAACAGTTGAAGAACAAAGTCATGGAGTTGGAGGCGCTGGCAACCAAGTGGGACAGTTCGAATTCTTTGAGCCTTCCCACAAGAATGCCCTTAGATGAAGCAGTGCCCATGGAAGTGGACAACATCCAGAAGGGCAAGAAGGGAGGAAAGAGCAAGTCCAAGGATGGAAAGTGCAGCGGAGGTAGCTGCACTGGTAGCGTAGCGGGCGAACAAAGGAGGTGGTGGTGTCAATCACGAACGAACCCTCCCAACCAAGGATCACACAGATCCGAAGCACCTTTTCTTCCAAGTGCTCTCGAAGGCCTCCTAGGCCTGTGTAGCCACCATGGCCGGATTCCGACCAGCGATCCGAGGATCAAAAGGGGGCCCCCTGGTTTGGGCCACACACAAACGGAGAAAACATGGTGGCACCTGAAACATGTCCCAAAGCTGCACCAGGACAAAAGGAAGTCAGGTGATCACCATGTGCCACTCAGAAGCTTGTGACCAGGTAGGTCTCTGGCGATGATTGCAAGCTCCATGAACTTGCCCTGCATGGACTCGCAGAAGTCGTGGTGTCCTTCATCACCAAGCGAGTCATCCATGTGGGCCACCGCGGACTTGCCAGCTTTCTTGTTCTTCTTGGCGGCCACGAAGTTGTGGTCAAATGCCACTGACCATCGCCAAATGGTCATGAACTTTTCCAAGCTGACACGACTGTCCGGCCGCTTCTTTGTTAGGCCGTCGGCCAAGTCATAATCAGATGCCACCCATCTCAGTTCACAGCCAACACGGTCCAAGTTGTCTCTCAATTGAAATGCCTGTAGGGCGGACCGAAAGTTGGACAAACCCAACAATGGGGATTCGTTGACCTCTATTGCGTCGAACCCTCCTCTCGAATCCGTACACAGGATTCCGCGCACCTCCAACACTTGCTTCTCCACGGCCTGCACCAGACCAGTGCGATCGAGTTGAGGTCGTCGACCGCCGGTGTGAAGGTCTGTCCACAGCACCCTCACCCTGAAATTCTGGTCTTCTGCCTCGAGGATGCTCTGAACCTCAGCATCGTTTGATCCGATGCTTTTCCGTCTCAACTTCCAGCTCCTCCAACTCAACAAGCACATAGGAGTGACCTGGCCTGAGAGGCAAGCGGGCCCTGCGGCCATCGTCAGCATCCCGCCTGTGCTGTCACCCTTCGGCCTGTTCGCATGGGCTTGGTCGCCCATGGAGATGAAGACGATGTCATTCCATTTCTTGGCACCGTCCAAGGGGAAGAAGCGCAAGTGAGATGGTTGACGTCGGACTTCTCCAACCATAGATTGGATTTCTCGCTTCAGACAAGGTGCCATTCACCGTGACTTCAGTGAGGAGGATGTTGCAGCGAGAGCAGAGTAGAGGTTGGGTCTGTATGGCAAGCCATTGAAGACCTCCGAGGGTTGTGCGGCAGGCAGCCACTTCTCGAGGTGTGAGCTTCCCTTCCTGCCGAAGTCTTTCAGCAGGGATGTCCAGATCTGGCAAGGCCTCCACATAGGCATCTTGATGCACTGTTACCATGAACTTGCCGTCCTTATAGGGCTTGGTGCGAACATCAGTGCCTGCATGCCTGTAGTCACGACGGCGAGCAGTGCCCCACTTGTAGGCGGCATCGATGCGAGCGCATATGTCTCGCCACTCCTGAGAGGTGTTGTCGCCAATGCGGTTGAAGTCGTCGACGTGGCCTCCCATGCATCCCAGCAACTTGGGATATCTGCCAGTGACATCCGTCTCGGTGGTCGAAAACCATGCCCACATTGAGCGCTCTCCAAGGACAGCTTGTCCACCTAGCTTGACCAGGGTGCGATGAAGATCAAGCCAAAGTCCACGTGGAGCGGTGGTGCTGCCATAGATGTTCCGGAGCACCTTGAGGATGCCTTCTTGGCCCACTCCCAGGGCCTCACGAAGCTCAGCAACGCCTGTAGTCCAGAGATTGGCGTCCGCCTCGGTGGGTTGAGTTTGCAAGAAAGCTGTTGCCAAATCCAGCCCTTCCAGTTCCCACTGATGGTGGCTTGCAAGCAGGTAGATGATGTTGCGACCAATCATGGACGTGACAGGTGCAGATGTCTTGAAGGAGCGATCGAGAAGACTGGGATGTTGGAAGCCCAACAAAACGATCCTGGCCTTGGCTTTTCGCGTGGCATCTGGCGTCACGGTCGTGTTGGGGTTGTTGGCCAAGTCATCCAAGGCTTCTTGACGTTCTTCCTCCGGGATGGCTTTCCAGACAAGGATCCATCTGGCTTTCAGGATGCGGTTGCTGTCATAGGCCTGCTTGATCTCCTCCGAGGAGAGACATTTCCTCACTGCCTCGTTCTTGATGAAACTGGAGACTTCTTTGTTCTTGGCGTGACACTGTCCGGCCAGGGTGACATGCATTTGCCACACATGGAGTGGAAGGGAACGTCCCCTGCAGGCCGGTGGAGGCCTCTATGCTCAGTCAGGCCGGACTTGTCTGAGGCCTTCTGATATTTCTGCAGTGTCCAAACCCTCTCCTGCATGGCCAAGGCCCGCAGGGGGATGTACTGCTCAATGATGCGAGTGACCACTGGCGTTGTGAGGGGGTAGCCCGTGAACTGGTCAAAGAGCTGGACCATCTCCTTCTCCGTGCACGAGGTGAGGAGCCCCGCCAAGTGGCCCGGGATGGCCGGAAAGCGTCCGGGAACATGGCGAGGTTCGTCGTTGCAAGGCCGGAGTCAACTTGGATATGTTGACCTCAGAGGAGTTCATCTTCTTGATCATGTAGGCCACAGGGTTTCTCTCGAGGAACTTGCGTTGACGATGGGACGTGGCCTCCACCTCAAAGGTGACAGTCAGGATGTCCTCATTCTCCCTCACGAGCTGGTTCAAGCTGAAGGCTTGTTCCTCAAGAGCTGCATCGACTTGCAGCTTTTCCACCCATGAGAGATGTAGGAGATCATCTTCTTCACCACGAGCTCTCTTGGATGCCGGTTCTGGAGCAGTATCTGGCTCGGTGGGTTCATATTCGTTGACGGACACCTCATCCTCTCCAAATCCAGGAGTGTGCTGATCATCTCCTGCGCCAAGTCCAGACGCTGCAGGTCCAGGAAGTCCAGAGTCAAGACCTGCTGAAGAGCTGGGCCTCGAGTCCAAAGGCCGATCAAACCCAAGAGGTACGATGCTCTTCTTTTCAAGTCCAAGCGGAGATGATCGATGAACCACTCGATAATCTTCAGGTGCCAACGTTGACTTGGTGGTCTGACGTCTGATGGGAGCATATGTGGTGGAATCAGGATGCCATGGAAGATTGGGATGTTCCGGCTCATTTTCGGCAGGAATCTCATCAGTGAGGTCCTGGTACTCTTTCTTTGGCATGATGTCGGCCAGAGTCTTCCATTGGCTGATGTCTTCCTTGGATGTCACCTCCCAGCGAAGACGTTCTGGTTCAGTGACTGGACGAACACTCAGAGCAGAGCAGCGGAAGAGTTTGCCCTGCATGAGAACCCAAACCACATGCTTCCGGTGATCTTGAGGATCTTGATGTGGTAGTGCCTCAGAGAAGATGACACGACCAGGACCGATCCATCCGGGTCGTTGACTTTTCCTCCGACCACCACGTGGTCCTTCAAGTTCAGGATGAACTCGTCGCCAGATCTTCACAAGATCGGTGCACTTGTAGTCTCGGAGAGGTTGCCGTGCCTTGGAATTGGAGAGCCTCATCAAGATGCGTCCAGCTCGATGTTTGCGAGCCACTTGCTCAGCCTGATGTCGGGCTGACACCAGTTTTGAGTATGACAGTTTGTCCTTGATCTGGTTGAAGATCATGTAGTCTTCATCCAACAGGCTGTGGTCCTTGCCGAACGCCCATTGATGAGAAGTGTAGCCGGATACATATTCAGTGGAGTTCAGGGCAGAAGCAGCCAGCACCAAAGTGACCATTGGGTCCTGATCCATGGCCTCCAGCTGGATTGCAGATGCTGTGTGTTTCAGATCTTTGATGGCATGCTCAACTACACCATGACTCCAGGCCTCTTTCTCGGCTGGAAAGTTGACGACAATGCCATTGTCTTGGCAGAACTTGGTGAACTCTTCGGACCCAAATGCCCTGCCATTGTCTGGAATGAGCTGCAGAGGCTTGGGATAGTGAGCCAACCACCCCTCGCAGAAGGCCTTGATGATCTGTTGGGCAGTCTCGGTCTTCATGACGAGGAGCTAAAGGGAGGCATCACCGGTACGCCGGAGGCACGGTGTTCGATTGTGCAGAGCGGTCAACCGGTCACACGTGAGCACAAAACGAGAAGTGTACCTTTTACTGGACCTTTAGGCCCAAGCCGAAAACAAGCGTTGTGCTTCGCAAGATTTGATAACGGATATCGTGTCCCGGAGAAGGGCAAAAGAAGTTTTGAAAAAGATTTCAATACAGCAGGGGCTTACTCGTCAGCTTCTGGCCGAGGGTGCGCGGGCGTACTGGAGCCCAGTTTACATAATCGTTTGATTTTTGTGCTCGTCATTACTCGTCATTCGTCATTGGAGAAAACTGAAGGCAGTTGAATCAAACCATATCAAGCAGTAAAGCGAAAGAACTAACAAGCATTTGTGTAAGTGTTGGACTTACAATTCACCTTGCCAGGGATGCGTGCCCAGGCATTGTTCGTGGGCTCCACTCCTCACTGCAATCCACCCTGGAGCTGCAGGATGGGCCGTTTTGAGAGTTCCAAAGAGTGGACTCTGGGACCATCCTGTGAAAGCTGCGCCAAAACTGCGTCCCTTGTTGCCAGGAGCCCCTAGTAGCGTCCAGAGGGATTCCTTGTCAATATGTGAAAATCAAGTTATTTGTGCCAGGATGTCGTGTCCAAGGTCAATGTGACCACCACGAAGCATCGAACCTAGGGTTTCTCTTCAGAGTTCTCGATAGACTTGGATCCATGTGGTGGACTGAGGGCTTGCCAGAATTGTTCGTGTTCAAGCACTTTGACTCTAGTTTCACAGAGTTTGCGCAATCTTCTAGAGTCAAATATTCTAACAAGCGACACCAGTGTCAACTCCTAGGTCTGATTCAGAAGGTGTCTTCAAGCTCTCTACAGCCGTCAGCCCGCAGAAAGGCTGTCAAGTCCAAGAAGGGGAAGTATCATGGTTGAAGTCTTGCACTGCTTGCTTTGGTGAGAGGGATGGAGAGGAGCTCAAAGACCAACGTGTCAGTTGAGAAATACAACTTTGTTGGTTGATTTGGGGTGTAGACGCAGTACTCAGTACTGAGTCTACGTGGAGGCTCCGCAAGATTGATGTCTTTGGGATCCTTTTGGTGCAGGTAGCGCTTGTGTGTATATATGATATGCATTTGTTCGCAGGCGGAAGCGACCTACTCTTGGTTAATCGGCATTCTGGCGCTGCCACATTCTACCGAAAAGTTGCAGGTGCGATGCTGCATTTTCTTCGGGCTTTGAACATTTCCACGGTACTATCAAAAGGCCACCTGTTTAAAGGATTCATTAGTATTTTCCTTGCTTTTAGCTGATTGTTTCGACCAACAGCGAAGCTAGGGGCATTGAGTTTCCGCGACTGACAAGTTCTGGAGCAGGTCCCTGAGCGTAGCATAGCGTAGCTACGCTTTGCAGTGCTACGCTTTGCAGGTATTGCATTGTTATCATGCTGTCGTGCATTCTAGCATGCTGCACTTCTGTCATGCTAACTTGATCCAGCTTGCAAACATGATGGTAAGCTAACGCGTGCTTTTTTGCTGACATGCTAACATATTGTACAAAATGCTGTCATGCGGGCGTGCAGAGATGCTTGTCAGACTAGAAACACACAAATCAGATGATGAGTTACGGTTGTTTTTGAATTGAAGGGCACAGACTGACTCAGCCTTGTCTCCAGGGGAAGGCCTCCGGCGATGTCGCCTGGATTTGCTGTGCTTTGGATGGAAAGGGAGCAGAAGGGCAGCCAAGGAGGATGTTGCTAACAAGTCCCAGTGTTTCAGAATGCAGGACAGACACACTGAAGTTTGCAGTTCAAGGGTTTGTTTTGGCGGGGAGCACAACAACTGAGCAGCGATCCAAACTTCCCAAATAACCATTTGAAGAGAGAATATGCAGTCGCAAAAGCATGCCCGAAAGCCTGCGAAAGCTTGGGAGCAGCGCGTGAAAGACAAAACGCAAGCCGTGAAAGCGTTGCGAAAGGAACTTGTGAAAGAAGAGCCTATTAGAATCATTAGAACACGCTACTACTAGGAGCAAGGACGCTACTAGCATTCTCGATAGGTTTTGAACAACGTAGTCTCAACAGCCGTACTCAAGAAGTTGGCACACTCCGAGGCCGATGCATTCCTGGTACTTCGAGGCGGCAAGTGGACATACTGCTACGTAGCTAATACCTTGCGCATCCTTGGACCTGGCTATCAAACTACTGGCAGTGTTTTTGCTGCCTATATGAATTATGTTGCAACCTTGGGTAGACAGAGCCGCAGATCACTTCACCAGGTCTTTCGTTTAGGAATTGTGGTAGTGGTTCATCACATACGCGTCAAAACCATTGGGAAGATACCTCAGTCTCGCAAAGGCAGAGTCCGGATCTACACTCTTCGAGGCATGCCAGAGCTTCGAGATGGCTTTTAATGGCGAGTGTGCAGATTTACTTGCCAAACAAGCCACTTGACCTTCGTGAGGACAAGCAGAGTGGAGTGAGGTACGCGGGGATGGTCAGTCTTACACTGTTGCACACAAAGGTATACATATCACATATCGACTCTATCGAGGCTCAGCTCAAGCAAAGTCGCATTGGCCAATCGATAATCTACCTGATAGTTGAGTTTGGATGCTTCTGGTCGCATCATTGTCTATTAATTTGGATCTGAGTCACATGCCCACCAGACAAAACAAACGGTCGAAGGATCTGAATACACCGGTGACCAGGTTTCGCATTCCGCAGCTCCAGAAAGCTGGGCAGCCCTTCGCAGGGAAGGCATTGCACACACCATTGTGTCAAAAAGAAGACTCAATATCTCTACAAGGTCTCTCACAGTAGCTTGAATAAAATAAATGAGAAATCCCGAAAGAGGAAGGCAGTGCTTTCGTGCATTTCTTGGGGAAACAAGGACGCTTCTAGTAACAAGGGCATCGCTACTAGGAGCAAGGACCCTGACGCTACGAGTAGCTCCTGGCCTTACTACTAGTAACAAGGACGCTACTAGGGGCTCCTGGCATCGCT